TAGTACCTAAAACAATGTGAGAGTGACCTGTGACAATCCATATTTTCCTGTTAGATCAACGACACATAGTTATAAATAATAATTTCAAAACGTTTATGAAATGTTAGGGATAATATTGTAATTTTCAAATAAGAATAATAATATTTTAAAAGGGTATTGTTAGTAATTTAATAATTCATATAAAAATGTATTTATAAATTTAAATGTGGAGTAAAATCAATAAATTTTTACATTTGTGAGGCTCGTGTCCTAACAAAGAACATGTGGGCCTTCCTTGCTAAGGGCACACACATTGATTATTTTATTTAATACATTTAGAAAATAGAGAAATAAATATAAAATTAAAATTTATAATTAAAAAGAGGGAAAATTTTAATTTTTAATTTTTTCCATTAAGTTGGAAAATCCACGTGGCAACCAAATCCACCAATCATATCTTAACACCTTCAAGCTTTCTTCTCTTCTTCCTTGCTCTGTTTCGTTCTTTCTCCCCTTCTTCTTCTTTCGCTTAGATTCATTCCTTGAAGCTCTCTCGCGCTCTACTGCTTCTGCTTTTCCTCTTTCTCTTGTTCTTCGCTCTGTTTCAACCAAAAAGACGAAGAACAATAAAGCAATTCCAATCCGTTATTTCCGAAGCTTTGAGGTCGGTTCGGTCAGTCTTCTTCCACTCCGATTCTCCTTTTTTTCAGCTTTCTTTTCGATTCCTTCTTCCATTTTCCCGGAAAATTTTAGCCGCTTTCTCGGTGATTTTCCTGGAAAATTTGTTCATCGGATTCTGTTTGGACTGAAGTTTTGGAAGTGCTGGTTAGTGTTAGGGTTTAATCGATTGAAGTTAGAGCAATACTGATTGATATTGTTTTTGTTGATTTGGTTTGATTTGGAAAGCGGCAGTGACTTTTTTTCAATTGGTTTGGAAAGTGTAGATTCCTCAGAGTACGTTTTCACAGAAAAAAAAGTATTCTGATTCCGTTCAAATGCTTGTTGATTTAACGCCCTTATTGTCGAATTCCTATTGCGAAATATCCGCCTTCGTCTCGCCCTATTTGCTGCATTTTCTCTCTGTGTTCTTCCTGTTTCTTCTCTATTTAACAATTCTAAATCTCTTCCCCCAAATTATGAAGAACATGTTTGAATCTCTTTGAATTGTATCCTAAAATTGAGAGAGAGAGATTCATGAAGTGGGAAATGGAAATTCTGTCCCCTCCTGTTTCCTCCATGAGTTGGAGCTCTGGCGATGGATTGAGCTCGAGATGGACCATTGCTGAGAACAAATTGTTCGAGAATGCCCTGGCTATCTTCGACACCGATACGCCTGATCGGTGGCAGAAGGTTGCGGCGATGATCCCTGGAAAGACGGTTGGGGATGTGATCCGGCAGTATAAGGAATTGGAAGCTGATGTTAGTAGTATTGAAGCTGGCTTGATCCCAATTCCTGGTTATGATACTTCTCAATTTACATTGGATTGGGTTAGCAGCCATAGCTATGATGGATTCAAGCAATCGTATGGCCTCATCGGGAAAAGATCGTCGGGGCGGACGGCCGATCAGGAGAGGAAGAAGGGAGTTCCATGGACGGAGGAAGAACACAAGTAAGTGTTGATTTTCACTCATTGTTTCTGTTGAAATCATTTTGAGGTGTCTTTTGTAGTTTGAATTTGGAATTGGTAAACGAATTTGCAGGCTGTTTTTGATGGGGTTGAAGAAGTACGGAAAAGGGGATTGGAGGAACATCTCGAGAAATTTTGTGGTAACTAGAACGCCAACTCAAGTAGCTAGTCATGCTCAAAAGTACTTCATCAGACAGCTCTCCGGTGGAAAAGATAAACGGAGAGCGAGCATCCACGATATAACCACTGTCAATCTCAACGACACGAGAAGCCCATCACCCGAAAACAAGAAGTCACTATCACCGGACCACGCAGGCGTGCTCTCACGCCACTCGAATCCATCCTCCACCGTGCCTCGGAATCCCTTCAATTGGAACCACCATCACCACCAACAACAACAACACAACGCCGGTGGAGCAGCCATGGTTTTCAACCACTCCCATGGGAATGTTTTCATGTCTCCAGGCACTTTCGGTGTCAACTCCTACGTCGGGGTTCATCTTCCCGATCACAATCTACAAAAAGGTGCTGTCAACGAACCCTTCATTGGACCCCAAAACATGATCTTTCAGATGCAGGCTGGCCATTGCTTTCCCCATGGATAGTTAAATTGAGCTTTTTTCTTCTTTTCGAAATGCCAACGCCGACGCCGACTCCGACTCCATTGTCCTCTTTGAGCTTTCACATTCAGAATATAGTTTGTAATCTTAATTTCTTGTCATATACTTTTTAATACAACTCCATATCTTTGAAGAGGACAGGATTGAATTCATTTTCCTTCTGGTTTTCTTTTGGGTGTCCATAAAAGGAGCTTCTCTGCAACTTGCAGATTCTGTGTTGGGAGGACAAGGCATTTAGAGATGGGCAATGTGCTTTGCTTACTCCAATGAAAAATGCTGTCCAAGGAAGATTCTTGTCGATAATTCGACTCGACATTCACTATTGGGACTTCGACATGGCTCAGTTCGGCATAAAAAACCCGTCTTCTTCTTCAGTGCTAAGCTGAACAAAACACCTAAACCGGGGAAAGTTCAGCAAAGAGCCTTCCTTTTAGACAATACTCATTGTATGCTCATATCAGTCATTGTCTAGTTACTATTAAGCCTGTTGTTCTTGCTATGCATCTCTGAAGCATTATTGATACTCATCTGTCAGTTTCTATGTCAATTGTTGAGTTTTTTGAACAATTCTTTTAGTGAATTTCAAGCATTGATATCAATTTGGTATCCCATTGAATCCTCTCTTTCTCTTTCTCTCTCTAGGAGCTCATGAGCTAAAGCTGATTATGAATCCACTACACGAGCATCGTATGCTTCAAACTCTATTTATTTTATTGTAACGAGATCTTTTTGGAATATAGATCCTCTTACGAACGGAAAGATCCATTCTAAGTGTGATTAGATAACTCATAATCTCCCTCCCAACTTAAGATTCAGATTTGATTACCCTTTACATTATTTTAATCATTCTTTTTATTAGTTTAGATTTTGATACAAATCCTTTTTCATATCATAGGTCTTCCCTTGCTCCACACAACTCAAGTGGCCCAACTTCATCTTCAAGAGAATCGTGTTGTTATTTTATTTAGATTGTATCTAATTTGAGAATAATTTTATCGGATCAAAATACCAAGCCTTTAATAATAATATAAATAACTTTAATCTTTAGCCACTAGATTTTATGAAGTTATTCGAGCTACACTTGTAGGGTGAGTAAACATCAATGACGGGAGTTAGCATAAATACATAGTTAAGTCATTTGCGACGGGAGTTAGTAAAAAAAAAATCCACAATGAGATATTGCTAGTGTTTGTTCCAAATAGCATCGACAAAGAACCGACAAGCTATAATAAAAAACCTTCGGGACAGAGTTAAGGTTAGGTCCTGAAACCATTCATAGAGACAAAATTATCCAACTTCTCATGACTCTATACATTATTGCAACCAATTCTCACTAACATTTCACGAAAACCCTAAATTCAAATCTCGACACTTATCCTACTAAACATAAACAAAATACAAACGAGAGTTTATTCAGGTGATGCAGTAAACTGACAATGTCAGTGAACAAAAATCTTCATATCACACAAATACGAACACAACTCACGTAAATAAAAACATCAACTATTAATCTAAAACACGATAGGTCCCGAAAGCTGCAATTGTTGAACTAAAAACGTTAGGGTTTAAAAGAATATGATTAGTAGGGAATAATGATGGGAAGGGGCAATGTGAGTTGCAAAATGGTATATTCATCCCCCACCACTTATGTAAAGAACTATATGGCAAGAAGCTTTTGAAGAGCAAGTGACAAAAACTAACCACCATTTTTTTAAACCTTTTTTTTTTTACCTTTTTTTTCCCCTTTATGCAACTTGCTTGCTTAGAAGAACATTGCCTCTTTAACTTTATTCCTTTGAAGGGGTCATATCCTTAGCTTAGTAGCTACCACAAACACATAATCACTACTTCAAGCTTTCGGTCATTAAATATTCGGATTCTTTCTATTACAAAAATTTATTTAAAATTTTTGGTCAGGGAGAAAAAAGGATGCTCGTGTTCGTTCTTCAATTATTTGAATAGTCACCACTTATTCTAGTGATCCCACATTTGTTGTAAAGGAGAACGAAACATTTCTTATAAGAGCATGAAAACCTCTTCCTAGTAGACACGTTTTACAACCGTGAAACTAATGATGATACGTAATGGACCAAAACGGACAATATCTGCTAGTGGTGAGCTTGAGTTGTTATAAATGGTATTAGAGCCAGACATTGAATGATGTGCTAGCAAGGACGGTGGACCCCAGGGAGATGGATTGTGAAATTTCACATTGGTTGAAGAGAGGAATGAAGCATTCCTTACAAGAGTGTATAAACCTTTCCCTAGTAGATGCGTTATAAAAACACGAGGCTGACAACGATACATTACAGACCAAAGCAGACAATATCTACTAGCAATGGACTTAGGTTGTTACAGTCTGTCTACTCGATGAATGAATGGATAAAGGATATATCGAATCAAATCTTAGTTAAATGATTTACGATTAAATATTAAAGTAGCTTCTAAATAGAATAATTAGAAAATAAAAACCCAAGATAGAAAAAGTAGTTAAAGAGAATATAACTAAAAAAAAATAGCAGGGGACTAATTCAAGCTATTGATGATGATGAATGATGATAATATATTATATTATTCCCGACTATATTTTAACTATTTTAAATCATCGATTCACTTGATCACCCAATAATTATAATTATTTGTGTGTATTATTTGGTTGCTATCAATCTTAAGAGAATTTTAAAATATGTGACTATAGAAAAACAAACCCTTCTAGAAATAGTCCAAAATACTTGGGACAGTTTCAAGCATATTTCAGTTAATAAGACATAGGTTATCATCTAAAAATTTAAGCATGAATCTATTACAAGCCTCATTTTTCCTAGTTTATAAAGGGTCGAACAATCTTTGAGCTACATGTCTTAAATTTACGGGCAAGACCCCATCTTCAACTTTAGCCAATCTGATCATAGCTCAAACGATTATGGACCAAAGATGTCAAAAGTTCGAATCTCTCAACTTCACTCATTGAACTAAAAACACCCAAAAAAGGGGCCGTTTTTAGGAAGACTTTCAAGGAACTCAAAACATTTTAAGTATCATCTTCTGCAAACTCGTTCTCTTTCTTTCGGAACGTTTTCATATTTTATGGACAAAGGAAGTGCCATAGGAGACTCAGAATACTAATGGAAGCTCTAAATTAGGAAGAAAGTAGAGGGAAGCCTAAACAGAATGCAAGTTCCAAAAGAATAAAAGATTGTTGTTGAAGAGATCATCAGCTAATAACACTTAAGGATATCGGAGGATAAAAGGACAAGAAGATACCTTTGTGTGTATAAGAACAAAAAAAGAATACGATCAAGCTTGAAAGTTAACATACCCTGAAAGCTCCTTTCATGATTTGCACATGGCAGATTCATTATGCTGCGTCCGAATCCTCACCTACCTTCTCCAGCCCTGTTTTCAAAAGTGAAGAAGATGTTAATGGAAGAACTACAATCTCTCTCCCTATTAACTTCAGTAGGGGTGTTCTGTTTTTGTGGTAAGAAACTGAGATATCTACAAAAAAAACAAGCCCATAAAAGAAATTCACAACAAGATACAAGAACAGATTCCAATCCGAAAAAAGAAAGACACGATGTGAGATCCCACAATAGTTGGAGAGGGGAACAAAGCATTTATTGTAAAGGTGTGGAAACCTCTCCCTGACAGACGCATTTTAAGACCTTGAGGGAAAGCCTGAAAGGGAAAACCCACAAAGAGAACAATATTTGCTAGCGGTAGGGTTGTGCTGTTACAAATGGTATCAGAGCCAGACACCGGGCGGTGTGTTCGCGAGAACGCTAAACCACCAAGGGGGTGGATTGTGAGATCCACATCGGTTGAGGGGGAACGAAACATCGCTTGTAAGGGTGTGAAAACTTCTTCGTTTCTTTGGAACCTTGAGGGGAAGCCCAAAAGGGAAAACACAAAAAGAACAATATCGGCTAGTGGTGGACTTGGGTTTGGGCTGTTACAAACGAAGTCGAAAATTATGAAAAGTCTGATTAACGAACGTCCATAAACACGCATTAGACCTTGCCACCTCCCACACATCCTCCATTGACGTCTCCAACCCCTAAAAATTCTACTATTTCTCTCGAGCCACACTTCAAGGGAGAGTTCATCAAGAGCTTCTCCATTTTGATGTGAAACAGTAGAAGGAATTAATGGAAGAATTACAATTGCTCACTCTAAACATTAGTTTCTGTGTGAAACAATGGAAGTAGCAGCAAGAAAGAACAATGTTAAGAAACCATAGGTTTTAGGGTGAAGAAAGTCAATATCAATCCTGAATAAGCTTTCCATTTTGATTACTCCTCTAAGATTTCTGACAGAAATGAAACAAAACAGAGAATACAAGAAACCTGAATGAAAATCGATTCAACAAAATGATGATGCAGAACCCATTTGGAAGCAAGCAGACTATTGCCTAAGCCAGCATTTTCCATGTTGACAGAAGCAGAAGCAGAAGCAGAACCAGAATTCATAGCATAATTCTAATATGATTTGAATGTTGAATTAGGCAAAACTCAAGTATGGAACGACAATGGAGGTTCTTAATTTCTATAATTGAACAATTGAATTGGAGAAAGGTAAGAAAATCAACCTTCTTCGTCTTCTTCTTCCTAGTCTGCGATTCCTTCTTCGTAATTATTTCCATATCTCTCATTCAGATAATCTACCGCCGCCGGTGTCAAGACTAACTTATCGGAATTCAAAATATCGAACAAATTCAGCGTTCTCGGCGTCAACAATTTCAACGTTCCGACGTTACGGCTAGATAATCGCACATTATCAGAAACCTCCGTCATTAAGAACAGTGATTTCTCCTTTGGATCGATTCCCCATCTCTTCAGCGCAGCAATGAACTCTTTAGTTTTCGGCTTCTCGAACTTGTCGCCGAAATCTTCCACCACTATCGTATTTACCGCCGCGCTAGCCACCGCCGTAGATATTGCCAAGCTCTTCTCCTTTCTGTTGATCTTAATGGACCAATCTCTAGGTTTCGGCCCGAAGATCACACCTCCGCCAGGTCGAAGAGGAGTACGCATCGAACCGCGACGGGCCTTACCGGTTTTCTTCTGCTGGTAGGGTTTCCTACCGCCTCCACTAACCTCCGCTCTGGTGAGAGTCGAGGCGGTCCCTCGGCGCTTGTTCTGTTGGTCGGTGATAATAGCTCGGTGAACGACGGCGCGGGCGGTTTCCGGTGGAGCGGATTTGAGGTCGAGATAGGTCTTGCCGACCTCTTCTCCGGCGAAAGAGAGAACTGGAAGAGTAGCGAGCTGGGAGGAGATCGATAAGGGCTTGGTTTGGGGTATACGGGAGTTAGGTTTCCAATTGCCGAATAGCTTCGAATTTTCGTTGGGGGAGGAAAGGACGATCGATGAAGAAGAGAAAGAGAGCGACGATGGCGTCGGAAAGGTCGCCATTGTTGGTGCAATGGAGGAGCTTTGAGGCGCTCTTTGAGTTCTACAGATGGTTCCGTTATCCACTGTAGCTGAGATCAGTGGCAAAGACGAAAATACGACCTTCTTTCCTTTTTCACCAAAAAAATAATAATAAATTAAATTAAATTTTTATTATCGGTTCAATTTTCTCTCCATTAACCTTTTTTTAATATATTTAAAATGATTTCTTATAATGTTGCAATTCAATCAAGGAATAAAAATCATGTTTTAATTTTTGTATATATAAATTTCTTATATTATTTATTTATTTATTAATATAAAAATTGCGTCATAAGAACTTAAAATTTTATAGTAAATTGATATAATTTAAGAAATAATTTATTTTCTTTTTCTTTATATTTTTACTATTCATTTTGCTAAATAAATATAATAATTGGGGGATTTGGGGGGAAATCAGAAGAGATCCCGCCGAATCGAATAGCGAGTTCGGAAACTCCGAGACCAGCCGATTTCTTCTAAGTCGAAATCCATCGCCGCCCTTCTACCCGAAGTTTGTGGCGGCTCATGCTCTCTCCGTCGGTGAAGTACAATTCCTTGATCGTATTTGAAACGAGTTCAGGTTTGACGTTTTTGTTTTCTACTCAACGAATGCCACAGTTCTGAATCTGAACCTAGATTCAGAGATTCGTAGCTCTTCCTGCTTCCTAAATAGGATTTTTAGAGATTTCGGACTGAGAGTTTGAGATCTAAGACTTAGACGATGGCGAGCGAGGATTGCCGAGTTTATCACGAGAGGCAAAAGCTACAGTTCTGCCTCTTGCACGCACTCAATAACCTCTTTCAGGTTTTTTTTTTTTTTTTCAATCTCAAACCTTAACTCTCAAATTTTCCAAACGTTATCTGATTGCTTGAGATTGATAGTCGTTAAATCTGGAAATTTATTATTTGCAGTGTAATTAAGATGCTGATAAACGGAATTGTACTGTTCCTTATCATTAAGAAAGAATTATTGTGTATAGGATCTCAGAATTGGCACTTGTCTCACTATCTGACGATTTGTTGCATTCCTTATGTATTTCGGTGTCTTCATACCATTAAATCTTCTATTAATATCATATTATAACAGGAAAATAATGCATTTACGCGAGCGCACTTAAATGCAATTGCTGAAAAGCTTGTGCTCGACGAGCCAAACAAAGAACCTTGGACGCCATTATCATTTGTCTTTAAGCCTCATCACAACTCAGTAACTGGAAACTATGATATAAATGTCCTAATTTCAGCTCTGGAAGAGAAAGGGAAGAGTGTGGTGTGGCATGATCATCGGAATGGAGCTTCTTCAATCGATTTGGATGGGCCTGAGGCTACTCATAAACTTATGGGAATTGTGCTTAACGTCCCAGTTAGAAGGTTTGGTGGCATTTGGAAAAGCAGGCACTGGGTTGCTCTGAGAAAGATCAATGAATTATGGTATAATTTGGACAGTGATCTGCCTACTCCTCATACGTTTAAGGATACTGACGAAGTAAGACAATTTTTGGATAATGTGATCAATGACAATGGGGAAATTTTGCTTGTTATGAATGACAGGAACTAAATCTCCTCCATAGGATACTCGTGTTTGTGCTTGAATCAAATGTAAAATTAAAATCATAGCTGGTTTGTGTTGGCTGTTTTTTCTGCAACTTGTTTGGCATACTGAGATTTACTTGGCTTGAGTTTATGTTTTTGATTATTTCACATTGCTGATAAAGAGGGGAAATGATTTGAAGTGAAAAGCAATGAGAAACGGTTCATGTCTGAGTTTTGCACCTAAAAGCCAAATGAAGACGATTATCTTTAGTTGGATCCTGAATTTGCTAAGCTGCTGGCAAAACTGCCATCAGATGGAATGGCGCCAGGTATTTTACAGAGCAGAATGGTTTGTTATGATTCAAAAAGACTCAATGTCACAATCGCACTTTTCTTAGCAGCGGACTTTTACGATTGTGCAGCACTCCCTTTCAATACCGAGTGGGTCAAAGCCAATTTGGGATCGTGTCGCCTACTGCAGGGCAACGTATGCTCAAACCTCTAGCCCCGTTTTGAGAAAAGGGTTTTAAAAAATGGGGGCAGAAGGATTTTCGAAAGGGAACTTGGAAGCAAGGTTGAAAGAAAGAATGATAGCAACATTATGTGACTACATACAAAAGGCAATAAAATGGCTTAAATAGCATAAAGTTATGGAGAATTTGACAACTCGTTGCAGCTCCCTATAGTACATTTTGAGGCGATTCTAGTCTGATAGGTCTAGACATGATTTCGCCGAATGGTCATACAAAGTTTAGGTGGGAGGAGTTGACTAGTCGCATCCACTTATAGTACATTTCGGGGTATTTCAGTAGTACCAGGCATAGACATGATTATGATAAGACGTCGTACACTTAGAAAATACAGTAAGGAAACTATATATCATGAAAGCAGTAAAGGAAAGCAATAAAGTGATACAAGGCAAGTTTTTTGACATGTAACGAGCTTGCGGTCATGGGCAACACACCTTAGACAAGCATCGTCGTGAACGGCGACACTTGATTACAGAGGTTAGCTTCAACTATTATTGTGAGTTCTTATAAAAATTTATATTATCTCATTATCACACATGAACCATTACCATCATTGCTACAAACACAAACGCAGTCTTATTGTCTGATCAAACCCTTTAGTATATATTTTAACAAGAAAGCATGATGCATCGCCACCAAAGAACGCTTCCTAGAAATTTGTTAAAATAAGAACAGCTTTACGCCCTTAGTGGATGTATCCCTATAATTATCCGTTCAAAATCCTTTCTTCTTAAATGGCCATTTTAGCTTTAGAAATTCCCTTTTTCCTTTATCTGAAACAAGAATCTTTAGAGCCTTTCATCATTTCCTTTTGCTCTGTCATCCCCTTATTCAATATTGACTTTGCTTCCTTTGTGATTCTAAGTCGCTTTCCATTGTTGCTTCTGTTCCAAACTTGTAAATGTTGGAGAGAATTGTTTTCTCCAATAAAGAAAATAAGAAGAAGAAGAAGAAAAGTCTGAATTTCTAAGCATATTCTCTCCTAAACTTTCACATTTAAAGTGATATATTTGAGTCAATCTACCTTGCTATAGCTATATTCAATAGTTTAAAAATGCCATCAATTTAGTCCACTAAACTGCAGTAGAGAGGACAACATGATTATTGCTAGATTTATGGGTTTGTTTATTATTTGATGTCAAAACTGTTGATTTCTACCTTTTCTGTTCTCTCTGTTTATCTTGACATCCAGATAAAGTTCATTATATCTTTGGCCGTTGGATCAAACATTTAACGGTTGACATTTCATGATTAAATCAGTGTTGGGCATTATATTGAATGACCCTCACTTTTGTTCCTTGCTTGATAGAGATTTAATGCACAGAGAGACAACAGAGCCTTCTTGGGTTTGCTTAAGAACACGCCTTGGCGGGCAGCCTGCACTTTTCAGCAGTGTGTACGTCCCTTTCTCGATCTCTCTCTTTTTTTCTCTGCGTTCTTCTGACTCCATGACGACGCCATTGGAACAGAGGATTGAGAAAAGGAACATGTCAAGCAACGCAACCAGGCGAAGCACGGGGTCTTTTAGAAAGTTGAGATTTAAGTCGCTGAAAGGCCTGCAATTCTCTCCGCTGAGCTTTTTGAAGCACCTGGCCAATAAAGTGACCCGAGCTTGGCATTTGATGGCCATGAAGAGAAGACCCCACCATGAGCAAGAACCTGTTCCGGCCATGCCTGTCGCCACCTCGAAGCCACTGCCGGTGTCAGCCGTCGACTCACATAGAACAGAGGCTGTGGAGGACTGCATCAAGTACATCAATTCTTCCTCTTAGCTCCTCACACCAATTCTTGGTAAGATTTTCTCCACAAAATGCTTAGTATATATACAGTCTCTTTGTGGGTTTAATTAAATGCCTGATTTCATCGTTGCTGATCATGATGAAATGTTGTTTCTTTGGTCTTCTTTAGATTAAAAATTAAGCCTTTCATCTCTATATTCTTTTTCACAAAACCCTATTTGCAAATTATCCTTAAGGAAGTTTTTTTCTTTCTTTTTAATCGAAATTAGTTAATAATAATAATAATTCTTACCCAAAATTTATAAAGAAAATGTTTGCGGATGATTGTTGGGTGAATGTGATCCTGGGTTTATAAGTAAAAGGAATATATCTCCATTGGTATGAGGCATTTTGAAAAAACCCAAAACAAATCTTATGCTCAAAGTGAACAATATCATACTTGGAGATCCCTGATTTCTAACCATGTAGATAGACTAATTATTTTAAAAAAACATTCATTACTTTGAAAGTACATAAAATAGTTTTACCATTTTCTTTATTTAGTTTTTTTAAAAGAAGAAAAGAACAGTATTCAGAGTAAATGCTTATTGAATAGAGTTGGATGGATGAATTAATACAATTATGGTTATTATTATTTAGTCAACAGAGAAGCATATCAATCTCAATAATTCAATAAACATTTTAGTAAATCAATCCACGTCATCACACCGATATAGTTTTGGTTCTTTTATTGTTGGATTTGTTCATATTGCATCATAATTCACGCACTTCTCTCAGGGAACCCGACATTATATTAGCAGCAAGATCTTTGTCATGTCGATTGATTGAAATATAATAATATAAATAAATCAACAATTCCCAACAATAATTAATAATGTAACGATTGCATTGAAAAATAACCAATCAAAGCAGCAGAGAGTGGCAACAAGATATGCCCTGAAATTGCACAAGTATTCAATAGAAAGAAATTATATACGAGTGAAATGGCATCGCCGCCGCTGCCGCCGTCGTCTTCAGTCTTTCTTGGCAAAGAGACCACCGAACCCGCCGTTCTTTTTCGGCGGGACTTGGACGGAATTCTTCCGGCCGCCACTGACGGTGCCGCTGTTACCGTCCTTGCCCTCGACCTTTTGAAGAACAGGGTCGGTTTCGAGAAGCTGATCCCTCTCCAAGCTTCCGATGATCCAATCAAGAAGGCCCTTTTCCTTCTTGCCTTCGCCGGCGCCCTTCGCCGCCGTGGCTGCGAACACGAGTCCGGCAGCCGGAGAGAATGCGATCGGAAGAGAAGCCATATATATTTTTTTCCTTTTCCTTTTGTTTTCTAGGGAGGGGGAAATTTTGAAATGAAATGAAATGAAATGTGAAGGATATTTGGGTAAAATAAGCGGCGATGGAATGTTCAGAAGCGCGAGCTCACCACAGGCGCCTTATCCTTCAATTCTGTGGATTTCTTTTTCTTTTTTCTTTTTTTTTTTTTCAATAAGTTTTACGATTAATCCGCACCACACTTGGCTACGGATTCGACACGTCGATTCTCTGTAGCTTTCTATAATGGGCCGAGGCGGCTATTGGGTCATTAACTCTGGGCCGGCCCATTTAAATTCGCATTGTATTACGACAAAGACGGAATTTCAATATATATATCTTATTTCGTTAAATAAGTCATTCTTGACTTTTTAATTTTGATAATAATATTAACATATGTTTAATTTATAGTTAAATTAATATAATTTATTTTTTCTTTTTATTTTTTTTACAATTTTGGTCGACTTCCTTCTAGCTTTGCTCGAATTTCCACGTAACTATTTGCATTATAAATTCGAAAATAATAGAAAAGAAAACGGCCCAGAATTTATTGGGCTGTGGGTAATGAACACTAACGCAATTTATGGCCCATAATTATTTCCTATTGGCCCATCAAACTATTGCGGTCCAAATTAATAAATGAAGCAACAAAAGGTTGCCGTGGCGCGTGCAGTACACGCGCCAAACACAATAAACTGATCATGGTCAACCTTGTTGGGCCCCACAATCTTAAGCAACACTCATGTTGGAAAGGAAGAGCAAAAAGATTATGGCAAAAAAAAAAAAAAAAAAAAAAAAAAAGAGAGAACTCCTATTTTAAAATTATAGCCTACAACCAAAAAAGTTTAAATAAACCTACACATTAGAATTATTAATTGTTCTGTATTCCATTATTAGATATCACATTCTAGATCCTCAAACAAGNAAGGCATGCACCCGTTGCAGAAAATAAAACAGGAAATCGACGAAAATTTAAAATATAATAAACCAACACTACACGTGGAACGCAACGCCACATGGCATATGGTCATTGGGAGAATGGCGGTTAGAGTGCATTCTTATACGAGATTAAGGGATTCTCCCGTATATTTAAACGCATCACGTTGAAGTCGGGTTTGGTGGGTCGACCCAAAATTATGTCGGCAACTTTATTTTATTGCTAATGTTATGCCAGATATTTTAATTTAAATACCATTAAATATTTAGTTACTAAATTTTAGGTTTTGATTTATTAACAAAATTAATTAAAAGTTTAAATATATATATATATATTACAAAACCAGAGGACACAAATATTTAATATTAGGTGGCATAGTTTAATCCAAACCGAAGATTTTAAATTATTATTTCGAATATTTTAATGTGCCGCGTAGATGATTCGAAGGCCCACATCCGAAAGCATATGGCCCACTTTCATTTCATTTATGGGCCGGAGCCCACATCTACTTTATCAAACAAATCCGTACATATCTCTATATCTCGCGATATCAACTCGAGAAATTGGACGATATTTTAAATTCAATAATTTCGAATCACTACAAATAACATGCTCGAAATTTAAAATATTAATTAAAAAAAATACTAATATTTGTCTCGAGTTAATTTAATATAATATTTTTTTTAATAAAAGTAAAATATTAACACGAAATAATTATTTATATATTCTCAAGCATTAAATTTAAAATTTAAAACTCTATTTCAATATATATTATAAAAAAAATTAAATTCAAAAACTTTAAATTTTATTTTTACAACAAGTTGAATATATTGTAAATAATTATATTTTTT